TATGTTCTCCCTTCGGGGAAAAATCAAACATATTTTCTATTCATTCCATGTCTATTAGTGGTCAGCGAAAAAAACAACAAAATCATGACAGTTTATGAACCAGGTGATGCTCTCAGAGAAGGTTTTGGACACAGGAAAGTATAAAAAAATTGAACAAAGGGCAAAAACTCTAAAATTAGGCAAGGCAGAGTTATGGTTTTTGCACTGCACTCCTATTTAATGAGATCTATCTATCTATAAAGTTTTGTGATGATATCTCTTATAGTTTCAGAGTTATGTCCTGGGTAAAATTCAAAGTGTAAAAATAAACAAAGGGCATAACTCCAAAATTAGACAAGGCTGTGTTTAGGTTGTTTAGCACTGCAGTTCTTTCCAATGAGATCTATTTACCTACAAAGTTTCATGTTGAAATCTCTAATAGTTTTAGAGTTATTATATGTCCTGGACAAAAGTCAAAAAGTAAAAATAAACAAAGGGCTATAACTTCAATATAAGGCAAGGCAGAGTTATGGTTCTTAAGCACTGCTAACCTACTCAATGAGACCTATCTACCTACAAAGTTTCATGTTGATATCTATTATAATTTTAGGGTAATGTCCCGGACAATTTAGTTAAGTGTCAAAATACACAAAGGGCAATAACTCCAAAATTAGGCAAGACAGAGTTATGGTTCTTTAACAATGCACTTCTACTCAATGAGATCTATCTACCTTCAAAGCATCGTCGGATACCCACGGCCGAACCATTATCATTCATCATTGATTGCATGTTATGTGACATGTTTATCAATCGTGGGTATCCGACGATGCCTTCAAAGTTTCATGTTGAAATCTCTTATACTTTAAGAGTTATGCCCCGGACAAAGTTTAAAGTGTTAAAATAAACAAAGGGCAATAATTCAAAAATTAGGCATGGTAGAGTTACATGCACTCAAAACCTACTCAACAAGAGCCCAGTTTGAGCCGGGTGATGCTCCCCGAATAGGTTTTGGACACAGGAAAGTACACCTCTTGTAGTCGTGGAAAAAGTTCAAAGTCCAAAAATCCAAAATTAGGCAAGGAAGAGTTACTGTTCTTTGCACTGCACTTCTAATCAAAGTCATCTATCAACCTACAAAGTTTCTTGTTGATATCTCTTATGGTTTCCGAGTTATGTCCCGGACAACTTCAAAAAGTAAAAATAAACAAAGGGCAACTCCAGAATTAGGCAATGCAGAGTTATGATTCTTGTGCACTGCACATCTACCCATTGAGATATATCTTCCTACAAAGTTTCATGTTGATATCTCTTATAGTTTTACAGCTATGTCCTGGACAAGATTTTTCTAAAAGGGGGGATAATTCAAAAATGAGGCTTAACAGAGTTATGGTTCTTTTGCACTGCACTACTACTCAATGAGATCTATCTACCTACAATGTTTCATTTTGATATCTTTTATAGTTTTAGAGTTATGTTCCGGACAAAGTTCAAAGTGTTAAAATTAACAAAGGGCAATAACTCCAAAATTAGGTCAAAAAGAGTTATTGTTCTTATGCACTGCACATCTACCCATTTAGATCTATTCAGCTACAAAGTTTCATGTTGATATCTCTTATAGTTTTAGAGTTTTGTCGCGGACAAGATTTTTCTATCAGGGGAGATAATTCAAAAACCGGGCAAAATAGAGTTATGGTTCTTTGACACTGCACTCCCCCTTAATGCCCTCTTCCACTGTATGAAGTTTAAACACATTATCTCCAAGGGTTTTCAAGTTATACTCCGGTCAAGACAATGGACGGACAGACGGACAGACGGACGGACAAAGCGCCGACTATATGCTCCCCGAAATTTTTCGGGGAGCATAGTACGATCTATCTATCTATCTGCAAAGTTTCATGTCGATAACTTTTATAGTGTTAGCATTATATCCAAGACAAAGTTCAAAGTGTAAAAATAAACAAAGGGCAAAAATTCAAGTATTAGGCAAGGCAGAGTTACGGTTCTTATGCACTACACACCTACTCAATCAGATATATCTACCTACAAAGTTTTATGTTGATACCTCTTTTAGTTTTACAGTAACTGTTATGTCCTGGACAAAGTTCAAAGTGTAAAAATAAACAAAGGGCAATAATTAAAAAAGAGGCAAGGCAGAGTTAAGGTTCTTGTGTTCTGTACACCTACTCAATGAGATCTATCTACCTAAAAAGATTCATGTTGATACCTCTTATAGTTTTAGAGTTATGTCCTGGACAAAGTTCAAAGTGTAACAAGAGGGCCATGATGGCCCTGGATCGCTCCCCTGACCCATCAACCGCATCCAAGCAATGTCTTAGACAAGCATCCTGGCCAAGTTTGATGACAATTGAGTCAAAAATGTGACCTCTTGTGTGTTAAAAGGTTTTCCATATTTGGGCAATGCAACCTAATTTTTGACTGGAGACAACCCATATTCAAACTTGACCTAGAAATCATCAAAACAACCTTTCTGACAAATTTCCTGAATATTTGGATCAAAACTGGAGCCACTAGAGTGTTATAAAGCTTTTTCTATTTTTAGCTTCTGTGACCTAGTTTTTGACCGGAGTTGACCCATCTTCGATCTTGACCTAGAAATCATAAAAACAACCTTCCTGAAAAATTTCCAGAATATTTGGATCAAAACTGCAGCCAGTAGAGTGTTAACAAGCTTTTCCTATTTTTAGCTCCTGTGACCTAGTTTTTGACCGGAGATGACCCATCTTCGAACTTGACCTAGAAATCATCAAAACAACCTTCTTGACAAATTTCCAGAATATTTGGATCAAAACTGCAGCCAGTAGAGTGTTAACAAGCTTTTTCTATTTTAAGCTCCTGTGACCTAGTTTTTAACCAGAGATGATCCATCTACGAACTTGACCAAGAGATCATCAAAACAACCTTCCTGTCAAATTTCCAGAATATTTGTATCAAAACTGCAGCCACTAGAGTGTTAAAAAGCTTTTTCTATTTTTTGCTCCTGTGACCTAGTTTTTGACCGGACATGGCCAATCTTGAAATTTGACCTAGAATTCATCAAAACAACCTTTCTGACAAATTTCCAGAATATTTGAATCAAAACTGCAGCCAGTAGAGTGTTAACAAGCTTTATCTATTTTAAGCTCCTGTGACCTAGTTTTTGACCGGAGATAACCCATCTTAGAACTTGACCTAGAAATCATCAAAACAAACTTCCTGACAAATTTCCAGAATATCTGGATCAAAACTGCAGCTACTAGAGTGTTAACAAGCTTTTTCTATTTTTAGCTCCTTTGACCTAGTTTTTGACCGGAGATGACCCATCTTCGAACTCGATCTGTATTTCATTGAGACATTCTGACAAAGTTTGACAATGATCCAATCAAAACTGTGACTGCTAGACTGTTAAGAACCCAATTGTTGACGATGAACTACGCACGACGACGGACATAGCCCCATCACTATACCTCACCTTGACCACTTAGTGGTCAGGTGAGCTAAAAATAAACAAAGGGCAATAATTAAACAAGAAAGTGTGACCTAGTTTTTTACCCAGGTGACCCATATTCGAACTTGACCTAGAAATCATCAAAACAAACTTTCAAACTAATTTCCAGGATACTTGGATCAAAACAGTAGCCACTAGTGTTTACAAGATTTTTCTATTTTTAGCTCCTGTGACCTAGTTTTTCATCCAATATGACCCATGCTCGAACTCATCCGAGCTATTACCTAGACAAGCATCATGACCAAGTTTGATGATGATTGGGTCAAAAATGTGACCGCTAGAGTGTTAACAAGGTTTTTCGATTTTTAGCGCCTGTGACCTAGTATTTCATCCAAGACCCATGTTTGAACGCATCAGAGCTATCAACTAGATAAGCATCCTGACAAAGTTTGATCATGATTGAGGAAAAAATGTGACCGCTACAGTGTAAACAGGGTTTTTCTATTTTAACCCCCGGTGACCTAGTTTTTCATTTTGAGATGACCCATGTTCGAACTTATCAGAGCTATCAACTAGATTAGCATCCTGACCAAGTTTGATGATGATTGATGCAAAAATGTGACAGCTACAGTGTTAATAAGGTTTTTCTATTTTTAGCTCCTGTGAGCTAGTTTTTCATCTGAGATCACCCATGTTCGAATTTATCAGAGCTTTCAACTAGATAAGCATCCTGACAAAGTTTTATGATGATTGAGGCTAAAATGTGACCGCTAGAGTGTTAACGAACAAGTGTGGATGGACAACGGACATTCAACGATCCTAAAAGCTCACCCTGAGCTAGCTCAGGTGAGCTAATAAGGAAAACCTATGACCCCCAGGGGGGGCTATATGTACATATAGAAAGAATCAATGACCCCCGGGGTAGGACCAATTTTGACCCCAGGGCTATAATTTAAACACTGTTGGTAGAGGTCTACCAGACAATGCCTTATGCAAAATATCTATGCTCTAGACCTTGTGGGTCTTTTTACAAGAAGATTTTTAAAATTTATTGTTACAATTTCTTTTGGTTGCCATGGCAACCAGATTTCTTCATGGAATGAAATTCTTTGAACAAGTTTGGAAGCCCTTACCCAAGGATCAATCCTGCCAAGTTTGGTTGAAATTGGACAAGTGGTTTTTCGAATCACTATATGCGGTGGCATAAGTTGCCTTAACTGGGATTTGAACTCCAGAATCGGGAACGGTTTTTGCAAATAAGCACATCAGGGTCTGAAATTTCGCTAACATTATTTGTTTGGTCTGACAACCCAAACAAATAACAATATGCCCCCACCTTCTTCTAAAGGGGAATAAAAATGAACAAAATGCAATAACTTCAAAATTAGGCAAGGCAGAGTTAGTTTGTTTTTGCACTTCACTTCTTCTCAATGAGATCTACAAAGTTTCTTGTTGATACCTCTTATATATTAAGAGTTATGTCCCGTAAAATAAGACGGAAAGACATCTGGACAGACAACCACACATACTACATAATATCAGTTTGTTAATTATTTATTTGTTAATCAATTCATACCTGTGAAGCAGCACACACATCAAAAGATTTCAGTATAACATCAACAATTCTCTGTGAGGTAAGGACATTGCCTCCAACCACTGCAGCATTCTCACTTGGATCTAAAATACTGCCCTGGGGGATAATTACTGTAACTGGCTTCAAACATCCCTAAACAGATGGAAACAAAAGCTGTTATGCAAAAGTGATGAATGCCCCCCCCCCCCCAAAGTTTTTGTAAGAACTGCAGAAAGGTATTATGAAAAGAAAATACAATATAAAATATTGCTTAATATTGTTCTTGTGAAATGAAGTGCTACCACCTTGACCTTGGAGGTAGGGACATGGGTCTTGGACGTGACACATCATCTTAATGTGGTAGACATCTATGCCAATTTATTTCAAAATCCTTCCATGCATGACAAAGTTACAGTCCAGTTACAACTGTGACCTTGACCTTTGACACAGTCATCTTAAAATCAATAGGGGTCATCTAATAGTCATAACCAACCTCAATACTAAATATGAAGACTGTAGACCAAAGCATTCTTAAGCAGTTGAGCAAACAAGCTTTTTGAAGTTCAGGCACCAGTGACCTTGACCTTTGACCAAGTGATCTCAAAATTAACATAGGTCACCAAATGGACATGACCAACCTCCATGCCATATACGAAGACTGTGGGTCAAAGGATACTTAGGTTAATAGGCAGACAAGCTTTTTGAAGTCGCCCTGTGACCTAGACCTTTGACCTAGTGACCTCAAAATCAATAGGGGTCATCTACTAATCATTATTAATCTCCATGCCAAATATAAAGACTGTGGGTCAAAGGAATCTTAAGTTATTGGGCGGACAAGAATTTTTCAGTTGAGGCCCCTGTAACCTTGACCTAGTCAAGGCCCCTGTGAACTAGACCTTTGACCTTCCTGGTGACCTCAAAATTAATAGGGGTTATCTACCAATCATGACTAACCTCAATGCCAAATATGAAGACTGTTGGTCAAAGGAATCTTAAGTTATTTGGCAGACAAGCTTTTTTCAGTCAAGGCCCCTGTTGAAAAAGGGGCATAATTATGTAAAAAAGCAAATCAGAGTTATGGGACTTGTGCCAATCATCTTAGTTAATCACAGAGAACAAGTGTGTGAAGTTTCAATACATTCCCTTCAGTAGTTATGGAGATACCAGCTTACACACAGAAACTTAACCACGGGGACGCCGACGCCGACAAATGGGTGACTGCATTAGCTCGATTATTCTGCAAATAGTCAAGCTAAAAACGACAGACAGCCGGACGGACAAGCTGACCTCCCTTACAACTTTGTTGTGCGGGCGTATAAATATGTACATTCAACCACTAAGTGTGACCTTGACATTTTAGCAAGCGACATGGGTCTCAGACATGACACAAGTTATGTACATTACATTGTCTTGACAAAGATACAGTCTGGACACAAATGTGTACCTTCAAACTGTTCTTGTGAGAATGAAAACCTTCAAACTATAATTAAGACCTTGGACTTAGAACATTGGTCTTTGATGCCACAAGTTGTCTTGATGTGGCAGCAAATATGCTGGGTTATTTAAAAATCCTCCACTGCATGACTTAAGACACAAATATGTGTACCTTTAAACTCTAATTGTGAGAATGTGAACCTTCCAACTGTAAGTTAGACCTTGACCTTTGATGTAGGGACACGGTACTTAGTTGCTACACATCATCATGATGAGGTAGACATTTGTGCCAAGTTATTATAAAACCCTTCGATGCATGACAAAGTTACAGACTGGACACCAATGTTGTGTAAGTTGGGAGCACAGAGACATACAGATTGTGCAACTATAATATGCCACCCTTCAGGGACATAAAAAGCCATTTATTTCATAGTTAGAAAATAACTATGATTCCTAATTTTAATAACTTTATCCAGCTGAGTTCATGAAAAGGACTTGCAGAGTTTATAACCACTTTAATGGATTTATGTATTAGTGACTGTGAGTACAAAAATTTAGCAGCAAATACTGTATTCCTAGAATATTTCACGGAAACAGTATTTTGCCTTTTTCATAAAGATGCATTTTCGCGGAGATAATATTTTTTCGTTTTTCATAAAGATGCATTTTCGTGGAGACAAACTTTCGCACAAACTAGTGACCATGAATTTTGCAGGGGTAAATTGCATATATATAATTAATAAAATAAACTTTAACCATTAGAAATGTAAAGGAAATGCTTATCCATAAAGGTAATTTTTGCTATTGTATTTTTAACAAACAATAACACCTTCATTTTTAGCAAGTAAAATAACCTTCATTCAAATTATGCAAACTGTAAATAACATAAATAATATATACATGTTATATCATTTTATTTAATCTGTTAATAATGGAAACTATCAAAAAGCTAAAACAATTTGTAAAGTGAAATTATATCTTGAAATGTGTTTCAGTTAAACAAAAGTAAAATTAACGCATAATTATTACATCTGAACAAATGTTATTGGGGCACACTGGCCTTAGCTTACGCAGAAGCAGTGGGTCCATTGCAGCAGCCATGGAGTATTCATCACAGAAGCAGTGGATAAAAAATTTAGATTGTTGTGAATTTTATATAGCACAGAGAAGTGATCCCTATATGTCTCCACTACTTTGTACAGGGGACACAAAAATCATAAATTTACCTGATTAAGAGGGACATCATGGCCAACCATACACCTCAGACAGTAAATAAGTGCTGACAGAGTTACTGCCCTTGGCGCATTCAGATTACCATACACCTCATATGACGAACCTGTGAAGTCACAGACTGCAGTTCCCTGTAGAAAATACCATATCTAATGCAGATACCAATCATGTTAACTTAAGAAAGACATAAATAAAACAAGCAAATTCATTGAATATACCACGCTTTATGATAAAAATCATTTGATTGAAGCTTCTTATTGTATAATGTACCTCTGAGGATTATTATGAGAAAAGAGCTGTCCAGAAGAATATTGAAAGTGGGGATGATGGTCACTAACAAGTATTCAAAGTTTCAAAGCAATACATAAAGGGGTAGAAGAAAACTCAACCAAAATTCTAAGTTTTGTTTGTTTTTCGTTGGGTTTAATGTTGCACCAACAGAGTATAGGTCATTGGAGGAGGAAGACATCAGGAGGTGCCCCTCTGTACATTATTTCAGGCACAAACTGGAACTGTAGTACTGTGAGCCACCAACATTGTGTATTTTAGCTTGCTGGATAGCTTTCTAACATGAAAAATCCGAAGATGAAGTAAACTAGAAGGGTTTTTGTCACAAAAACATGTGTCCCAAAACTATGTATGCCCAAACTATGTATGCTGAACATTGCCGGCAATGATGCACAACTACCAATGGTAATGATAAATCATGTGAAATTTCATTGAAATCCCACCAGTAGCTTGACCTATTTATAGCTATGACAGCCATTTTGTGCAGCAAAGCAGTACATGCCGTGATATGCGTAATGATCATTTATGCGAAGTTTTATAGAAATCCCGCCAGCAGCTTGACCTGTGAAAGCCGGACAAGATTTTTATAGCTTTATAGCTCTGGCGGCCATTTTGTGCAGCATGTCGTGATATGCACAACTTGGGAGAGTATTGAACACTCCTGTGCAGTTTTCATTGAAATGCTATCGGCAGCTTGACTTGTGTAAGCTGGATTGATAGCTCTGGCTGCCATTTAGAGCAGCGAAGTGGAACATTCCGGCGATATGCACAATTAGGGATGGTTCTGTTCACTTCATGAATTTTCATTGAAATTCAACCAGCAGTTCTATCTGTGAAAGCCGGAAAATATTGTTCTATTTATAGCACTGGAGATCATTTTGTGCACCGAAGAGGAACGTGCTGGCCATATGCACAATTAGGGATGGATCTGATCACTCCTGTAAAGTTTGGTTGAAATCCCACCAATAGTTTGACCTGTGAAAGCCGGATTATATATTTTTTATTTTTAGCTTAAGCGGCCATTTTGTGCAGAGAAGCTGAATGTGCTGGTGACATGCACAACTAGGGATGGTACTGATCACTCCTGTAAAGTTTGGTTAAAATCGCACCAGTAGTTTGACCTGTGAAGATTTTTCTATTTTTAATTCTGGTGGCAATTTTTTGCAGTGAAGTGGAACTTCCCGGCCATTTGCGCTACTACTGATGGTACTGATCACTCCTTTTAAGTTTGTTTGAAATCCCACGAATAGTTTGGATGCCGGACAAGATTTTTTATATTTTTAGCTCTGGCAGCCATTTTTTGCAGCGAAGCGGAACGTGCTGGCGATATGGCCAACTAGGGATAGTAGTGATCACTCCTGTAAATGTTTTGTTGAAATCCCACCAGTTTGACCTGTAAAGGCCGGACAAGATTTTTCAATTTTTAGCTCTGGCGCCATTTTGTGCAACGAAGCGGAACTTGCTGGCCATGTGCACAATTAGGGATGGTACTGATCACTCCGGTAAAGTTTGGTTGAAATCCCACAAGTAGTGGGATAACAAAACCTGTGAAGGCCGGACAAGCTTAATGCGGAAGGACGGACATCCGGCCAAATTGGAATAAGGTGCCACTTCTATAGTTATTTAATTTTGTTTAATTGTTTTTATTAAGTTTTTTTTTTTTATTTTTAGCATTTTTTGCAGTGAAGCAGAACGTGCCGGCCACTTGCACAACTAGGGATGGTACTGATCACTTCTGTAAAATTTTGTGGAAATCCCACCATTAGTTTGACCTGTGAAGGCCAGAAAAGATTTTTCAATTTTTAGCTCTGGTGACCATTTTGTGCAGCGAAGCAAAGCGTGCCTGGGATGTGCACAACTAGGGATGGTACTGATCACTCCTGTAAAGTTTGGTTGAAATCCAACAAGTAGTGGGATCACAAAACCTGTGAAGGCCGGACAAGCTTAATTAATGCGGAAGGACAGACATCCAGCTGAATTAGAATAAGGTGCCACTTCTATAGTTATTTTATTTTGTTTAATAGTCGGCCAATGGCCCCTTACTCTATTGTTACAGAATGAACTCTTTTGTGTGCTTTTCTTCTGTTAACAGTTAGATGATCTTCTAACCTTATGTGGTAGTGTGGACTGACAGGCGGACGGACGGACAAATGGCGAAAGCAACAAGAGCTGTCACAGAAAACAGCGAAGCTGGACTAATTAAAGTCTGGATGCAGTTAAGGAAGACAAAACTATGAAGAACAAGAGCCGGCGCCGGGCGGGGCAACGCTCAACTTTTTACTTATTCTAAAAGTAAACAAAGAAATGTTTGAACAAATCTTAACGTTTCCTTTTTATAAATTTAATCGGTCTGTCTTGTCACATTAGTTTTGTCTGTATATTTTGTATATATAAATATACTCATTTATATATATAGGCACATGGCCAGCACGTTCCTCTTCGCTGCACAAAATGATCTCCAGTGCTATAAATAGAACAATACTTTCCGGCTTTCACAGATAGAACTGCTGGTTGAATTTCAATGAAAATAGCATGTTTCTATATATATATATATATAATTCATGAAGTGAACTGAACCATCCCTAATATATATATATATATATATATAATATATATATATATATATATATATATATATATATATATATATATATATATAGAAACACGCAATTCTGTAAATAGAAACACGCAATTCTATAAATAGAAACAGGCAATTCTTAAAATAGAAACAGGCAATATAAAAAATAGAAACACACAATTCTATGAATAGAAACACGCAATTCCAAAAATAGAAACACGCAATTCTATAAATAGAAACACGCAGCAATTCTATAAATAGAAACACGCAATCCTATCAATAGAAACACGCAATTCTATAAATAGAAACACACAATTCTATAAATAGAAACACACAATTCTATAAATAGAAACATGCAATTCTATAAATAGAAACACGCAATTCTATAAATAAAACGCGCAATTCTAAAAATAGAAACACGCAATCCTATAAATAGAAACATGGAATTCTATAAATAGAAACACGCAATTCTAGAAATAGAAACACCCAATTCTAGAAATAGAAACGCTCAATTCTATCAATAGAAACACGCTATTCAATCAATAGGAACAAGCAATTCTATCAATAGAAACACGCAATTCTATAAATAGAACCACACAATTCTATAATTAGAAACAGGCAATTCTAAAAATAGAAACATGCAATTCTAAAATTAGAAACAGGCGATTCTATAAATAGAAACATGCCATTCTAAAAATAGGAACACGCAATTCTATAAATAGATACACGCAATTCTATAAATAGATACACGCAATTCTATAAATAGAAACATGGAATTCTATAAATAGAAACACGCAATTCTAGAAATAGAAACACGCAATTCTAGAAATAGAAACAAGCAATTCTATCAATAGAAACAAGCAATAATCAATAGAAACACGCAATTCTATAAATAGAACCACCCAATTCTATAAATAGAAACAGGCAATTCTAAAAATAGAAACACGCAATTCTAAAAATAGAAACACGCAATTCTTTAAATAGAAACACGCAATTCTATAAATAGAAACACGCAATTTTATAAATAGAAACACGCAATTCTTTAAATAGAAACACGCAATTCTATAAATAGAAACACGCAATTCTATAAATAGAAACACGCAACTCTATAAATAGAAATAGGTCAAATAATATCAACAAGAGGGCCATGATGGTCCTGAAATCGCTCACCTGACAAGGAACAAGTATATTGCAAACTATAAACAAAAGCAGATGTAAAATCTAAATCTTAACTGATATCATATTCATATATATATCTGAAATAATGCATGTGTAAAAAAATTACTGGCTGCTATTGCTAAAGGAAAACAACAGTTCCAAAAGGTGTGTACATAATTTTAAGCAAAATGAATAACCCCATGGGCAAGGCCAATTTTGAACCCATGGCTTTTATTTGCCATTTCATGCCATTGAAGCTCTAGCTCTTTGTGTTTTTTTAAATAAGATTTTTTTAAGTTTTTACTATATACGAGGGTTGTCCCAAAATGTCGTAGACTACATTATTTTCTCTTCAACCTGACGTCATAACTTAATAAAATTTACCAGATATCTTCCTTGGTCATTTGTTAATTTACCTACTTAAAGTCAATAGCCAATATATTAGGAATCGCTTTTTATCAGGGTTTTATATTTAACAGTACAACATACCCGGGGCACGATAAAATATTATTCAGTGTTGAGAGCATGCTTCTTAAAATAATGCCTTTAACTTCTAGCATAATAATAATTATGGTAAATACATTCATGTGGAATTACGTCATTCATTTTAACGTCATATCAGCAACAGACGTTTATGTAACGTTAATTTGAAAAAGTGTGTAGCATAAAACGTAACAGCAGTGCTATTTTGAAAATGCCCAAAATGGCGACGTCAGATGAAAATGCGGCGCAACGCAATGTCATTGAATACTGTGTTAAGTTGAAGAAGCGTCCAGCGTTAATTGACAACATGGAGAACATTATATTTTATCAAGATAATGCACCTTGCCATAAATCTCAGGAGACAGAGATTTAACTTGATGTGATAGGTTTTCAGAGACTTCCGTACGCCCTAAGACTTTGCAGTGTTTCCTTATTTGAAATCACAATAACGAGGGCACAGGTTCGAAAACTTCAACGAACTCCGCCAGGAAACTCAACTCTGCGAGTGTTGAGTACAACGAAGCAGGACTGTTTTGAAAACGTTTATGATAAATGGGTTGTCCCACAATGACAGTGCATCGCGAAACACGGTGAATACTTTGAAAAACATTTTAAAAAATCTTATAACGTCATAACGTTTATGACGACGCGCGCCGGGTATGTATAGGTAGCATTCTTTAATTTTTGATATTTTGGTCAATTTTGGAGGTATTTTGATTTTATTTCGCAAAGACACACATAAAAGGTGAATTTATTTTTCCCTAGCTGGAGGACTCTATTGTATTATAATTGATTGAGAAACAGACTTTGTCTACGATATTTTGGGACAACCCTCGTACATATAAGGAAAATCAATGACCCCCCCCCCCAGGGCAAGGCCAATTTTGATCCCAGTACTTTTATTTGAACAAACTTGGTAGACACTCACTAGAAGATGTTTCATACTAAATATCTAAGCTCTAGCTCTTTGAGGTTTTTAAAAAAGATTTAGTTTTTGTTTTCACTATATGCGTATAAGGCTTGTATTCGAACAAGCTTGATAGAGGTAGACACTTACTAGAATATCTTTCATGCCAAATATCTGAGCTCTAGCTCCTTGTGCTTTTTTTAAAAGGAGACTTTTAAGTTTTTACTAGTACATATAAGGAAAATCGCCTTGGGGCGGGACCAATTTCGACCCCGAGGGCGTATATCTGAACAAACTTGGTAGACACCCATAGGAAGATGTTTCATGCTTGATATCTTTGATCTAGCTCTTTGTGTTTTTTAAAAGAAGACTTTTAAGTTTTTACTTTATACGTACATATAAGGAAAAGCAATGACCCCTTTGACCACAGAGCTTTTATTTGAACAAACTTTGTAGACATCCATAAGAAGATGCTTCATGCTAAATATCTAAGTTCTAGCTGTTTCGGTTTTTTAAAAGAAGATTCATTTGTTTTTACTATAGAAATACATGTATATAAGGAAAATCAATGACCCTACCGGGGCGGGCCAATTTTGACCCCAGGGCTTTTAATTGAACACACTTGGTAGACACTCACTAGAAAATGTTTCATGATTGATATCTAATTAAGCTCTAGCTATATTGGGTTTTTAAAAGGAGATTTTTTAAGTTTTTACTATTTACAAACATGTGTAAAGACTAGAAATGTGTCGTCATGCCACAATGCCCCCGCATGCAGCCAAAATTTCAGATGTTATAATATTTAGTTCCAAAGTTGTTTGCACAAATTATTTTTTTCATTTTAAGTTCAAAGCCCTTAAAACTATTCCATGTTAACACAAACCATTTTTAAACAAAGTTCAAGGCACTGAAACTATTCAGTGTTAACTTTTTGTGAATTGCATAATGCAATTTTCTAGCCAAATTAATGGCTACATACATTTCCACAATAGTATGAGTGCTGAAACTGAAAATTCAAAATTTTTCCAACGGAGATATCTTTGTCCAAAATCATTGAACCATGACCAAATTCAAACTTGAACTGCTTATTCCTAAGATGTATCTAGATTTATATGTCAAATTTGAGTTGAATGTGTACAACCATTGGGGAGATAATGAACTGAAACTTAAAATTTCTGATTTTTTTTCCAAGTTTAAGAGGGATAACTCTGTCAGCTATCATCAAACCATGACCAAATTGGAAATTGACCAATGCATTCTTATGACATAACCATATCTTTAATTTGAGTTGAATATGTACAACTGTTAGGGAGATAATGAATGGGAACTGAAAATTTCCTTTTTTTTTCAAAGTTAAAGGGGCATAACTCTGCCAAAAATCATCGAACCATGACAAAATTTGAACTTGACCTGCGTATTTTTGTGATGTACCCGTATGTCACATTTGAGTTGAATGTGTAATACCCTAGTGGAGATAATGAACGGAAACTGAAAATTTCATATTATTTTCAAAGTGAAAAGGACACAACTCTGCCAAAAATCATCGAACCATGACCAAATTCGAACTTGACCTGCGCATTCCTTTGACATATCCATATGTCAAATTTGAGTTGAATATGTGACACTGTTATGGAGATAATGAACAGAAACTGAAAATTTCATATTATTTTCAAAGTGAAAGGGGCATTACTCTGCAAAAAATCATTGAACCATGACCAAATTCGAACCAGGCCTGCGCTTTCTTTTAAGGTATCCATATGTCAAATTTGAGTTGAATGTGTAATACTGTTGGGGAGATAATGAACAGAAACTGAAAATTTCATATTATTTTCAAAGTGAAAGGGGCATTACTCTGCCAAGAATCATCAAACCATGACTAAATTTGAACATGACCTGTATTTTCTCATGACATATCCATATGTCAAGTTTTATTTGAATGTGTAATACCGTTGGGGAGATAATGAATGGAAACTGAAAATTTCATATTATTTTCAAAGTAAAAGGGGCATAACTCTGCCAAAAATCATCGAACCCAAGGTGCATATCCATATCGGTACCCTCTTTGCGAAATCTACTCAGACGGTACTCTCTTGCACATGCACAGGCTATTCTTTGCTAAAAACAAACCAGCGATGGATACCAATCCACCTAATGCTCCTTCAAATGACGAAATGAGGTATGTCATGTGGAAAATATGTATACCACGGAACACTAGAATGTTTTATCTTCGAGTGTTTATTGCAGTGTGTCCATTTTCAATTATTGCAAACCCACAATATTAGCTACATAAAATTGACATGTCTTGTCTCGCCCATCACCTCGAAATATTGTTTCGGGCTGAAATGAACCAGTGGCTCGTTTATATATGCATCATACCTATTAGATATGTTCATTTATACATAATATTCAGGAAAATGGCAGTTATTAGTCAAAAATTAATGTAAAATTAAAAAAATCACCCTACTTTCGGTTTTGCAGCGAAACAGGCCACCTCTCTGCTATTGATTTTTTATATCACAGGTACCCTCTTATTCAATGTTTTTGATACACGGGTAGCCGTCCTAACACAGTATGTATAGAAGCAAGAAACGCGAAAGATCAAATAAGACTTTATAATACAGGTAGTCGGAATTCGACTTGAATGGGCAGTTCTTATTTAAGACAGGCGATTCCTGCCATTGACCAGTTCTAAGATTAAGCATCATAAGACGACAAATGTGTTCTTCTATTTGTGAATGACAGAAGTCCGTATCATGACACTATAGTATATATACGTACTTAAAAATAGGAAATATTACATGCTTAACGTTTAACGCAATTAAAGCGTTGTCCTGCTTTGAGGGTACCCGTGTGTTGAAAAATGAGAGGGTACCTGTGATACAAAGAATTCAAGAGCAAGAGGTAGCCCGTGCCGCTGCAAAACCGAAAGTAGGTTGTTTTTATGAATTTTACATTTATTTTTGCCATTTGTCTGAAGATGATATATAAAAGAAAATATGAAATATGTATGATGCAAATATAATCAAGCCACTGGTTCATGTTAGTCCGAAACATATGTCATGGTGATGGGCGAGATAAGACATGTCGATTTTATGTAGCTTATTGTGAAGTTGCGGTGCTTGAAAAACGGACACATGTCAAATCAACACATAAATTAAACATTCTAGTGTTCCGTGGTATACATCTTTTCCATGTGTCATACCTCCTTTCCTTATTACAATGAATTTTTACCGGCTTGTTATCCATCGCTGGTTTGTTTTTAGCGGAAAATGACTTGTGCATGTGCAAAAAGGGTACCGTTTCAGCAGATTTCGCAAAGAGGGTACTGATATGGATATGTACCGTGGAACCATGACCAAATTCGAACTTGACCTGTATTTTCTCATGACATATCCATATGCCAAATTTGAGTTGAATGTGTGCAACAGTTACTAAGATAATGAACGGAAACTGATGATGACTAAATGACAGAATGACGGAAGGACGGAACAGGGTAACACTATAATGCCCAAGCCATTATATGACGGGGGCATAATAAAAATCAATGACTCCTACAAGGGCGGTGCAAATTTTGACCCACGGGCTTTTATTTGAACAAACTTGGTAGATACACACTAGGAGATGTTTCATGCCAAATATCTAAGTTCTAGCTGTTTGGGTTTTTAAAAGAAGATTTTTAAAGGGAAAGGCAATGTAAGAATAACAAGTGGACAAAGATGGTCCTAGATCCTTCAACTGACCCATCAAACTCATCCGAGCAATTATCTAGACAACCATCCTGACCAAGTTTCATGACAGTTGAGTCAAAAATGTGACCACTGCAGAGTGTTAACAAGGTTTTTTCATATTTGAGCAGTGGGACCAAGTTTTTGACTCCAGGTAACCCATATTCGAACTTGACCTAGAAATCATCAAAACAAACTTTCAGTTCCTATTTTAGTCTAAATCAACTTTCAGTTCCTATTTTAGTCTAAATAAACCAAGTGACTCTCAGGGCGGGGGTCAATATTGACCCAAGGGGCATAATTAATATCACTTCTATAGGTGTAAAAAAGGTAATGCCAATTATCTAAGCTCTGTGCACAAACTATTACATTGTATAATTCATACCAACCTGTGCATCATAAATACAAGGGTTGTTATTGGTATTTTTTAATGGTGATATTTGCAGTTAGAAGGTTTATAAAGAAGACGGCTTAAACACTATAATCTTTTTTAGAAGTGATTTGTCCATCATTAAATATTGTTAATCATGCAGAAAGGTTTCTCACCTTAGCAGCATCAATATCAACAGTAAGCTTGATTGGTGCACCATTATCCATGTAATCTACAGCATGCAGTGTTGTTGTGCCTGTACGTAGTTCAGTCTGTTTTGCTATCTCTCTCAACATATCCTTCACTGCCAATTCTGCATTTTGCTTTAATATAAATTGTACAAGTAAGGTCACCTTTACAATATCTTTTAACAAGAGTTACAGACAAAAAAGTCTGCATGACTACTCTATGTGCTTCATGGTAACAAATTAGTCAACAGAGAGGAATAGTTCAGACAAAATCAATGCAAAAGCCAAGTGTTACCATATGTGCATATGAAAGAAACAAATATCCTACATAAATCAAAACACTAAATGCGCTGAATTTATTTGGGTCACAAAATAGCAGTATTCTTTTGTGATCTTGACATAACAGTTCCATACATGCCATATTTCCAGCCGCCCAGATAGGGGGATTTGGCTTTAAAAAGCAGGGGATTTCGACCAAAAGTAGGGGGATTTTTAAGCAAGCACAAACCAGTCGTAGTCTTAAAACGATGCAAACATAATTAAATTTCTCCCATTTTATTATGAAAATGAACATTTCTACAAGATCATTTGATATTTTCAAGTTTTAACATACATGACAGTGTGAAGGAATAATATGTAAACAATTGCAAATAAACATAGGTACTTTAAATATTTGATGTAAATAAAACTAGAAATGTGTCATCATGCCACGGATGCCCCCGCATGCAGCCAAAATTTCAGATGTTATAATATTTAGTTCCAAATTTGTTTGCACAAATTATTGTTTTCATTTTAAGTTCAAAGCCCTTTAAACTTTTCAGTGTTAACACAAACCATTTTCATACAATATTCAAGGCACTGAAATTATTCAGTCTAACCTTTTGAAAATAGCATATTTCATATTTGTAGCCAAAATAATGGCTATACATACATTTCCACAAAAGTATGAGTGCTGAAACAAAAAGTTCAAAAAATTTCCAATATTCAAGAAAGATAAGGTTGTCCAAAATCATTAAACCATGACCAAATTCAAACTTAAACTGCTTATTCCTAAGACGTATCTATATTATTTTCAAAGTGAAAGGGACATAACTCTGCAAAAAAATCATCGAACCATGACTAAATTCCAACTTGACCTGCCCATTCCTTTGACATATCCATATGTCAAATTAAAGTTGAATATGTGACACTGTTGGGTAGATAATGAACAGAAACTGTAAATTTCATATTATTTTCAAAGTGAAAGGGGCATAACTCTGCCAAAAATCATTGAACCATGACCAAATTCGAAATTGGCCTGGGCATTCCAGAAACATATCCATATGTCAAATTTGAGTTGAATGTGTTGTACTGTTGGGGAGATAATGAACGGAAACTGAAAATTTCACATTATTTTCAAAGTAAAAGGGGCATAACTCTGCCAAAAATCATTGAATCATGACCAAATTCGAACTTGACCTGTATTTTCTCATGTCATATCCATATGTCAAATTTGAGTTGAATGTGTTGTACCGTTGGGGAGATAATGACAGAAACTGAAAATTTCATATTATTTTCAAAGTAAAAGGGGCATAACTCTGCCAAAAATCATCGAACCATGACCAAATTCGAACTTGACCTGTATTTTCTCATGACATATCCATATGTCAAATTTGAGTTGAATGTGTTGTACCGTTGGGGAGATAATGAACGGAAACTGAAAATTTCATATTATTTTCAAAGTAAAAGGGGCATAACTCTGCCAAAAATCATCGAACCATGACCAAATTCGAACTTGACCTGTATTTTCTCATGAAATATCCATATGTCAAATTTGAGTTGAATGTGTTGTACCGTTTGGGAGATAATGAACGGAAACTGAAAATTTCATATTATTTTCAAAGTAAAAGTGGCATAACTCTGCCAAAAATCATCGAACCATGACCAAATTCGAACTTGACCTGTATTTTCTCATGACATATCCATATGTCAAATTTAAGTTGAATGTGTTGTACCGTTGGGGAGATAATGAACGGAAACTGATGATGACGGAATGACAGAATGACGGAATGACGGAATGACGGAAGGACGGAATGACGGAAGGACGGAAGGACGGAACAGGGTAACACTATATGCCCCGGCCATTACATGGCGGGGGCATAAAAAGAATCCCTGCAAAACAAATATAATTAATTGCATATTAATCATATAAAATACATTTTTATTTTTATATCAGATATATATTGAATCATTTAAGTACAAATAAACTTGAATTTGATGCATTCAAAATCCTTAAATAAATATACTTTAACAGCCAAAGTTTTTTCTCTTTAAATGAAAGGTATCAACATTTTCACGGAGACTTTTTTAAGCCATAGAAAGGTGAAATCTGCATCATTTCCCTACTTCTTATCAACTTCAAAGACCCAATGCCGACAACAAACTCAAGGCGGGGTTACATGTCCCCCCCAAAAAATTGATACGTCACTCATTCAGTATCGGACGCTGTCATTGGTTTATCAAAGGAGAATGTCATACATTGGTTTGTATATTCCTTGACAGCTGAAGTGTGTCGGAGTAACCAACAATGCAATTATTTGTTAGACCCATGCTGACTAATGGGGAGATATTACTTCAGGCTTGTATAGTTGTAAAAGTTGTTTAAGTCTATAATTAAATAATGCTTAGCTTTAATTTTTTGTTGGTTGAATTTTTGAAAATCGGGGGATTTTGATCCAACGGCGGGAGATCGGGAGACACTGTTGAAAATCGGGGGATTTTGTCCCCCGGCGGGGGATATGGCATGTATGCAGTTCTTTTACCTGAGCCATTAACCCTGTTAGACCAGTGGCTAAGAATGATGATATTTCTTTTATGAGGGCTGATTTTTTAAACACGACTACATTTATTTTTTAATATGATTTTGAAATGAAACAATAATTATTGTTTTGTTTTTGAGGGATGTTTTCTCATAAAAACTGTTTGTCTTGGACTCTGTTCACTTATATAAAATGGTAAAAGTACTGTTATATTGAGTTGTTGTTTTTATTATTATGTCTATTTTAATATGGTCAATGAAAATACTTCTTGCCATTCTTTAAAGATGCCAAGTTAAATATGAGACAGCCGAAGGCTTTACAAAAAATAATGTTCCCTGATTTGATGACATTATCTACGGACTTTTAAAATTTCCCTCCCTATTTTGTTTGGTAACTAATATTTTCATACTGTAAATTATGATTATATTGGGGTTCATGCGTGGTTATATACGGGCAACAGGTGCGTGTAAAATTCATGTTTTTTTTAACAGTGATACAGGAGCGTACAGTTAGAAAACATGCCAAGTAAAATATGATAAGCCTCCGGTAAAATCACTCAAATAATGACCCTCATCCAGTCTATGCGAAAGTCAATCTTTTTTTCAGGCCACAAGGACCGAGACCCTTAGGTTTATTTCCGGCCCGGATGATATTTTTCCGGCCCAGACATTTCAAGCATTATTTTATAATAACTCAGTTGAATGTAAAAATGATCGTCTTTCTTTAAATAAGTGTGACTATCATTAGTGTGACCATCATATAGAAACAAAAGAAGATGCTGACCAATTGAAATAACTTAAGCAGGGTTCTCACTAGGATTTTCAAAGTAGGAGTCCTGGGACTCCCAAGCACAAAAATGTAGGACTTCCAGATCACTTTGAATATGTTAAGCCATCTTTGCTGCACTTATGCAGTTGACGATTATGATGTATATGAGCAGAGTAAGGGGTTGGGGAGTTGGAGTTTGAACAGAGAAAAAGCTTATTCAGGAAAATGGTAATATGTCCCAACACTGTACCATAAAAGTGATTGAAAAGATTTGAAATATAATTTCAAAAACCCTACATCATCAGACCATTATGCTCTTTTCTTCCAGATTCACTCCACTTCCCCCCCCCCCCCCATAAGAAAATATTCATTGTATGTGACAAACATGTATACAGGTAAATACCTCCATTTCAACTAAAGTAAACAATATCTTTAGTAATTTTAATTCCTAAACTACATTTTAAGTGTTATGACACACATTTTAACAAAACATATCTTCCTTTTGGTTACGATTTTTTAATTATAAAAAGCGGCATCGCGAAAATATGTGACAATTGAAAATTTGTCTGTTTCCTGCAGAAACATTCACAAATCTACCTGTTGTTGATTTTGATTATATTAAATTAAATATTTTTTCATTATTTTAAGATTGTTACTCATCGGCTATTTCAACAGGCATCGTAAAACAAAATTTTCAAATTTGTATTTTACGGCAAAATTTACCGTTGTTGATGAAACTTTTTGAAGACAGAGTTGACTGGTATTTATTTGACATGTCTACAAAATAGAGTTAAGGTTGGTCAATATCTTCTTTAATAAATTCTTTGCATCACGGGGTACTTGTTATCAATCAGGTCATTAATATTTTTAACTTTTTGAAATTTTATTCGGACATGAGGACTGACGGAAAGGAAATTTATCTCGGACCGCATGATTTTTATTCGGCCAGGACCGAGGACCGACGGACTTTCGCACAGACTGCTCATCCAACACTAAAGCTTGGATGTAAGGGAACATTTTTTTCAAACATTTCATGTTTCAATCATTTCATAAAGTAGAGAGAAATTTTTTATTTGTTACATCTGTTTTCTGCATAATAAAATGAATCTTTGATCAATCAGGAACAATTTATCAATTTTTGAAGGGTTAGAAATAAATGCCTGGTAATTTATGTACCAGATTTTGACAGCAAGCTAAGCATATGGTTCAAAATTACAGTAGTCATAGAAGTATTATTTTGCTTCGGTCTGAAAGCATGTGCATGTAAAATAAATTAACCCCAAGAAGCATTATTTATAAAATAATTTGTAGATATCTATTTGACAATGCTGCAAGCCAAATAGAGTCGAGTCGGCTAATTCCGTACAGTTCCGGATGCAGTTGCTTTTCGTTGTTGACTAACTCAATATAAGTAAAAGCATATAAAAACGTTTAGGACCGGGTACCAGTTATGCTTCGTTTAATTTAGTTCATAAAGTGATTTTTGATTGGATAAATTTGGTACAACGCACTTAAACAAGATACGCCAAAGTAGGGTAAATCCGTACACTGTCGGGTAATTTCGTACAT